GCAACATCTCTCTCTACCTCATCAGTCACACCCTGAGTGGCAACATCTCTCTCTACCTCATCAGTCACACCCTGAGCGACAACATCTCTCACTTCCTCATCACTCACTTCCTCATCAGCAGCATCCCTCTCCACCTCATCAGCAGCAACATTTCTCTCTGTGCTGCCGACGATTGCATCTCTCATTTCCTCAACAACATCTCTCAGAACACCAATGCGCACATTGATAACGGCATCTCTCCGCTCATAAAAAATAATGGCCCGAAGTTCCTGTCTACCAATCTCAGGCATTTGTGCACCTGTTTCAGCCTCGTGAAGAGGAAGAACTATGCCTTCATTTGTTGCCATTTGTGCTGGTCTTCCTGCTTCATCAACAACATTTCTTCTAGCCGCTGTCGGGATTCCAAGGGGTACCTCTTCATCTACAACAGTGATATGATCTCCTCCATCGTCATCAACAGTGCTGCTTCCAGTTGTCTGTATTTCACGGGCTACTGGTGCTGGTCGTCTTTCTGGTTCATCTAGATCAATGACCTGTACTCCTCCACCATCATGATCATCAGTTTCTCTCCCAGTTGTGTCCTCTGTGCCATCGTCTCTCTTTGTTCTTGTTACCATCCAAAACCACAATGGTAACATGATGCATTGTAAGCCAAATAGGACCCTCCATATCCAAAGAGTGTCAGTTACGCAAACTTTGTAGGAAAGCACAGACAACACCAAGCCCAACGTTCCCAAATTGATTGTGGGTTGTACTATTTCTATGAGAGAGAACAGTGAATAAGCTAGAAGAGAACAAATTACGATATCAAGTAGTGTTTGTTCAGGAAATGCGACAGATAGCAGAATGTTAAACACAAAACCATAGTAAAGGATTATGGGTTCAGGGATTTCAAATCGAAGCAACCTCCTTACATTCCTATTCCATTTGACAACTACAAACAAAATACAGATGTAACAGCCAAACACGAACCAAAAAATCCTTGCTCGAGCTGTTCGAGAAGGTCCGTTGGCCCAGTTGCTGTCCTGAACTAGAAGAAAATGGGAAGCTGCGATCATTAAGGTTACAAAACTTGCAAGGGCCAAGAGTGAATCCCTAACCCAAACCATTTTCGATGGAAGGGAGAAAAGTAGAGGGAGATATGAAAATGAAAGAGGCAGAGAAGATGAAGACAAAAAAAGGTGGCACCAGGGGAGTGGGACCCGCCGCGATGCGATTGTAGCGTTGCACTGCCTGATTGCTGAGCTGTCTCCCAATTGTAGGGCCCAGACAGTTTCCGGTCATTTCTACACCCACATATCTTTTACCCGTAAACAACCGGTTAAATAAATGCTTGATTCGCACCTGACCCTTACGGTCTAGTGACAATAACCACCCGGTGCATTCCTTCCTCTTCGGATTGGATTTGAAACCTACCCCTTGTAAATATGTTTAAAAAAATAAATAAATAAATGCTTGATTCACACGCCAACAAATTAAACTTAACTAGCTCATATTCTTTATTTAAATGGATAATTAGGGTGATTATCTTATTTCTTACCGGCATTTCAAAGAACTTAAATTGGGTATTTTGGTATTTTAATTGTGTCACCAAAAATAATTTAAAATTTTAAGTTTGAAATCAAAATTAAAAGTTTAAATTTTGGCTATTGCAAGAAATGAACTTCTTAATGTATTAGAAATGTATTGTATAACTTAAAGAGTTTGATTTAGTGATAAGTATTGTTTTGTAAATTAAATATAAAATTGTTAACATTTAAAAAAAATTAATTTTCTTAATATATTAAGACAATGTGAAGAGTATATTTTTTAAAATTTAAGATCCCTCAAATAAAAAATAATTTAAAAATATGTACAAATTAATCTAAAGATATTAATACAAAAAATAATATTTTTTTCACATGTCATATTATCATTAATAAATTAATAAATATTGATGTGGTACTATTAATTTTGAGCCTAAAAATTTCATTACAAATTGAATCATGTGTCTGCTTTAATGTGAATTTAATTGAAACTTATGTTTCTTTTCAAAATCCATTTACCGTATTATTGGATTATTTGAGTCCTTGTCACCATATGATACCTCTTGTTTGGATCCATCATGGAAACTAATTTACACAGTTCACATCATGCTTTTTTTTTTTTGGGGGGAAAATAGGCGATGATCAGGTCCTTCTTGTTTGAACGTAGAGAATCCCTTTGTTTTGTCCACAGACCCCGACTATATTTATTGGGAAATTTTTTTTAACAAAATAATAATTAAATTACAATTACATAATTATAAGACAGAATATTTCTTAAGAGGTTTTGTTAAAATAATATGTAAATTATTTAAATTGTTAAAATAATAACCCAATATCTTTATTAGGCTGGAAGCCTACAAAAGCCGAAGTTATAAAGTTAATAAAGAAAAGTCCATTTGTAGGATTAATGATGCATGGGTCGCCTATTTCACACTGTGGATCACAAATCTTGGGCTAAAGTTGTAAACATCCGTGACCCCTTATATGTAATAATATGTTTGGATTGAGAAAATTAAAAAAAAAATTATTTTTTTTATTTAAATAAATAAATTAATTAAAAATAAAATAAAATAGTTTTTTCATTTTTCTCTAATTTTTTATGATAATTAAATAAAGGGAATTTTTTCTAGCTCTTTCATTTTCTTTTTTTTTTTGGTAAACCCATCTCTTCCATTTTTCTTAAACCCAAACATAGTGTAGGAGTAAAGATTTATTGCTCTCTATTCCAAATTTGAGACTTATTTCTGTCTTCCACATTTGAGGGCTTCTTTTTTTATATAGGTATTATTTATACCTAAAAATAAACCAATAGGGTAAGATCACGTGTCAAGGTAAAACCCAATTATCAAGAAAAGTTAGCAGGCTAGATTTGGGCTGAGTTGGATTACAATTTAAGGGCCCAGACGGAATTTTAAAGAAGCTAGATTTCAGGTGGTAGAGGATAAGTTGGGTTCTAGTGTTTGAGTTTGATTTAAAAGAGAAATTGAGAGTTTTTAGGAGGAGGTTATCCTTAGGGTTTATTAAAGATAAAATTGAACCAAAAATAGAAAACTGCCAGACAACTGCCAAATGTGGAGTCCTCACTACTCAGTCATGGTGAGAGAGGGTCGAGAAACATGGAGAAGGTTTCCCAACACCAAAAGGAAAGAAAAACAGGGAGAAGAAATCAGTTCCAGATGGCCTACGCTACACACACACACTGTCCAGAGCATGTTTTTCAACTTTCAAACTGCTTTTTCCAGATTTCAGCAATAGTTTTTATATTAGTTTGCAAGATCTGTTCTTGTTCATAGCCTTAGTTTAGGTTTTTCCATTCTTGTTCATATCTTTCCTCAAAGATTTCAATTTAGGTTAGTTTTTAAGCATTTGGAAGCAATTCAGCCTTCAAAACAGGTTTGCCTTGTTGATTTGGTTAGTTCATCTTTCTTTTATGGATTCACCTTTGTTATTTGTTCATGTAAATAAGTTAAATGCTTTCTGCTTTGTTCTTTTGTTTCTGCACAATAACCAGACATGCAATTTATTTAATTTCAATTTTCAGATTTAATTTTATAAGTTTCCAGACTTCAATTATTTCATAGATTCTCCTTCAGTTTTAGTTATCAAGTAGTTTAGTTATTTTTATTTTAAATCTGCAAGTAATTAAGTTTAATTGTTATGAATTGCATAGTAGAAATTGTTGTCTGTGATTTTACATTTTCTGTTGTCTGCAAATTTTATTTTTATGGCATGTTGTTTTCTTTTATTGATCTTATGTTAGATTAGTTGCCTTAGGATTTTGTGTTAATTTTAGGATTTGTAACTTTTATTACACTTTTGTGATTGTAAAGTTTTTGGAGGTTTTCAAGGCAATTAGTAGCCCATTTTGTAGAACTCCACTCTCTATTTTGCAACATCGTCTGGGGGCAATTTATTTTCACAGATGTTCTTTCCAACTCTCCCATTGGAGGTTGACCGTTGGAAAGGATCAGGAAAATCCTATTTTCTTGTTTTTAGACAAAATAAGTGGCACGCCTAACATCCAAACTCATGTGGAAAAGGCCAGTTGAGGATTTTTGAGGAAACAGATATCTACCAAAATAGTGTTGATTAAAGTTTCATTAAAAAAAGAAAAAAAAAACCCCTCTTCTTGCCTTCATATTCATCTACTCAATTGAGACTAAAGTTGAAGTCTCAGCCCAGATTTGAGCATCCACGGTTGTAAACGAAAATTGAAAGTCAAAAACCTTTAAATATGTAACTTACATTAAAAATAAACAAAGTAGAATTGGATTGTAAATTCTAATTTAAAGGTTTTCTGAAAAAGTGTTGAAAGCGTTATTTGAAATAAAGATATTACTTTTTATATTTAGCCACCATATATAGCCATGTTGCATAGCTTGATTCACACCTATTTTAAAAGAGCTTGATATTGATGTTGTATCAATGAAAAAATATGAATCCTTAAACAAAGTGCTCATAGTTTTTTAAGTTCTTGTTTCTATATATTTCTAACAAACTCTAAATAACCTTTTAGTGCGTATACATGATGAGTAAAATAAAACGCTAAAAGATATATTATTATAAATTAACCACATAAGTTGCAAATGGTTTAGATAAAATCAACATGGTTCTTCGGATTCTAACCTTTGATAGTTTATTTGTTGGTCAGA